TTGTGTATATACAAATGAGGTGACAGGTCAGAAAATAGTTAGAAACCAAACAATGGTGCATTGCTCACCAGATAAAAGTCACTCATCTGTCAGTAGAGCTACTCTGAGCTGTGCACATAATATTTAAACCACCATATATTAGTGTAACAGCTTCAAGAAATAGACAGAAATATCTTGCAGTAACACTACTGTATATAGAAAGCATTTACATACAGTATATAAGCACAATTTGGCAAATATAGCTATAGCTGTCAGCAGATCTTTATAACTTAATGGGCAAAAAAAATATTAATAAGTATAAAACATTTTTTTTCCAAAGTAACAAACATACACTTCATTATATTGTATTATTGCATTCCTAATACGAGGTGTGGGCTGGGTCCAGATTGGCTTGCCATCTGGTCTGGATCCAGACCGGAGTCCAGATTTTTAGAAGCCTGATGTAAACTGATGTTAACCCTGGTTTTGCTTTGTTTTTTGTCGCACTCTTTTTGTGCTGTGGGTTGTACCTATGCAGGGAGCCTCCACTGTCCATCTGTAGAATGAGCCATACTGGTTTGAAAAATGCAGCTTGTAACCTCGGATCAGCGGGGGCATAGAAGAAGTGCGGCACGGATTTTAACGACACTGGCCACAGAGGGCAAGCAATAAACACAAGGCCTGAAGATAGTGGGGTGGAGGGTTAGTACAGCAGGGAGGCAACACTTCTAGACAAATATTACAAAATTTATGTGAATTTGTGCTAAATCTTAGTTAATGCAGCTTTAATGTTCCTATTTTATCAGTTAGCAATCATGAAATTAATGGAGAAAGTTATTTAAACCAGTTTATTGAATGAAATCTTTTTAGTATGACACGTAATACACAAATCTATTAATATAATGTACAATCAGTTAAAGTTCACAGATAAGAACAGCACTTTTTGTATAATAAATGCCATAACATCAATTCACAGCATTAGAGATGTTCAAGAACATAAGTACAGTACATTAATTCGATGACATTTTAACTTCATTGTGTATATTTGCCAAGACGCAAACAGAATCACTAAAGTGTATTTTATAAGCTGATAATAGCACATTTTTCACTGCTGAATAAACTTTAATGACGTACATTTGTTATGAATATAAATTATTACACAATTCTTTTTAATTAAAGCAGACTTGTGTTTTTACAGCTGTAAAAATTCTGTCAGAGACGTAGTTGTATATTTTTGTTTGTGTGAGGCTGTTGTGTGAAAGCTTTGTAACTTGTGAGTTTCAGTGTTGCATGGATTTCATTGTAATTTCATTGAATTCTCTTTTCACTCAATTTGTGTGTTACAGTGAAGGTTAACAAGATTCATATTACATTTGGAGTGAATAAGATACACTGTCATAGCTGATGCAGAGATTTTCATTCAACAATCAAGTGTAGTTTTCTTGGGGAACAATGTTATTTACAGTAGCACCTGGTAAGTCTGCCACAGTGGTGGAGGTGCGATGGCATGGAATTCTGTGAGATATTGTCAAGAGGCTTGACCCCTGACCTCTGTCTTTTCCTTTTCCTCTCCTCCAGGGCAGGATGAGGTGGCACAAGCAGGACAGCAGTTTGTTGTGTAATGAGGCGTAAATAAAAGGGTTGTAGCAGGCAGAGCTCATTGCAAACAGGTGACTTGACACTTGGATGACATTTATGTACTTCTTCCCCAAGATGGAGAAGTCTGTGTCCAGGTCATGGATCAAATTCACCACCTGCAAAATTACAGTATGTCCTCTGAAGTATCATATAAGCGATAGTTCATTTTGTAAGTAATTTAAGGATGAATTTCTTTAGGTATTTGTTCATTTAAGGAATATTTTGCTTTACTGTTGAAAGTTGGTTGAGAATATGGATACCACTCCTCATGCCTTTATGCTAAATATGAAGCAACTGCCAGCAGCTGTTTAGCTTAGCTGAACACAAAAACTGGAAGCAGTGGAAAACAGCTTTGTTAAATCTGTACAAAAAAACATCACACGTTGTGGTTTTGTGAGCACTCACTTTGTGTGCTGAACTACAGCATTTCTTGACCATCTACAGTGGGTACGGAAAGTATTCAGACCCCCTTAAATTTTTCACTCTTTGTTATATTGCAGCCATATGCTAAAATCATTTAAGTTCATTTTTTTCCTCATTTCCTCTCCACACATACCGCATATTGACAGAAAAACACAGAATTTGACATTTTTGCAGATTTATTAAAAAAGAAAAACTGAAATATCACATGGTCATAAGTATTCAGACCCTTTGCTGTGACACTCATATATTTAACTTAGGTGCTGTCCATTTCTTCTGATCATCCCTGAGATGGTTCTACACCTTCATTTGAGTCCAACTGTGTTTGATTATACTGATTGGATGTGATTAGGAAAGCCACACACCTGTCTATACAAGACCCTACAGCTCACAGTGCATGTCAGAGCAAATGAGAGTCATGAGGTCAAAGGAACTGCCTGAAGAGCTCAGAGACAGAATTGTGGCAAGGCACAGATCTGGCCAAGGTTACAAAAAAATTTCTGCTGCACTTAAGGTTCCAAAGAGCACAGTGGCCTCCATAATCCATAAATGGAAGACGTTTGGGACGACCAGAACCCTTCCTAGAGCTGGCCGTCCGGCCAAACTGAGCTATCGGAGGAGAAGAGCCTTGGTGAGAGAGGTACAGAAGAACCCAAAGATGACTGTGGCTGAGCTCCAGAGATGCAGTCGGGAGATGGGAGAAAGTTGTAGAAAGTCAACCATCACTGCAGCCCCCCGACTGGTGGAGGGCTGCAGTGATGGTTGACTTTTTACAACTTTCTCCCATCTCCCGACTGCATCTCTGGAGTTCAGCCACAGTCATCTTTGGGTTCTTCTGTACCTCTCTCACCAAGGCTCTTCTCCCCCGATAGCTCAGTTTGGTCGGACGGCCAGCTCTAGGAAGGGTTCTGGTCGTCCCAAACGTCTTCCATTTAAGGATTATGGAGGCCACTGTGCTCTTAGGAACCTTAAGTGCAGCAGAAATTTTTTTGTAACCTTGGCCAGATCTGTGCCTTGCCACAATTCTGTCTCTGAGCTCTTCAGGCAGTTCCTTTGACCTCATGATTCTCATTTGCTCTGACATGCACTGTGAGCTGTAGGGTCTTATATAGACAGGTGTGTGGCTTTCCTAATCACGTCCAATCAGTATAATCAAACACCGCTGGACTCAAATGAAGGTGTAGAACCATCTGAGGGATGATCAGAAGAAATGGACAGTACCTAAGTTAAATATATGAGTGTCACAGCGAAGGGTCTGAATACTTATGACCATGTGATATTTCAGTTTTTCTTTTTTAATAAATCTGCAAAAATGTCAAAAATTCTGTGTTTTTCTGTCAATATGGGGTGCTGTGTGTACATTAATGAGGAAAAAAATGAACTTAAATGATTTTAGCATATGGCTGCAATATAACAAAGAGTGAAAAATTTAAGGGGGTCTGAATACTTTCCGTACCCACTGTATGTGAGTTTCTGCTGGTTGCCTAGTAGCTTCATTCTTGAATTCACTGCAACTATCCAAGGACGTAGGTTTTTGTACAGATTAAACAAAGGGTACGTTAATTAATGAGGTTTAGAGGGAATGGGCAGGGGTGGCACATTTGAAAGTCATGTAAAAATAAATTACTCCCCTAATAAGCCATACATTGTTAAGAACCAAATGGTTTATTTTGTGTAAAAATGAGGCACACATAGTGCTTTCTTTAGATAACTTTGGCTGCACTCCTTATTTACTCCCAGACAGGGATGTGGCTGCTGGTTCCATCCAGCTGAGGTCAACCATGCCAAGTACACAGTAACAACACAATCAGAGAAATTTATGCAAATATCGTGCTGTATGCATGATATAAAATCAAACTAATTTGACCAGTATCAATTCAAATGTGCCAGATGATTCAAATGTTAGTTGTATTTAAGGCAACAATCTGTCATTATTTTTCATTCTTCATTCATTAATACTGAAAAGCATCACATTTGGACTCTGCCATCAGGAGTGGTGAGTCAGATTCTTGGCTTCCCCAAGCTGGTAGGTGAATGTTGCTACCTCTGGACCGAAGTATCTGTTTCCTGCTTCTTCCAGTGTTTATGCTAAGCTAAGCTCACTTCCTACTGACTCGTTAACACTACATATTTCACTACATGTACGAAATTGGTATCACACTTGTCATCTCTTGGGAAGACAGTGTATAGACACTTCACAAGGTTTCAAAGTATTAGTTTACAAATGTACTTATTCATGTTTTCACATTTCATCAAACCATCACACTCTCCTTTCAATCATCTGTACCTGTAAGGGGAGCCAGGAGAAGGCAAAACAAAGGACGGACACCAGCAGCAGCCAAAAGGTCTTCCTCCTACGTCTACCCCAGGCAGCCCGCACAGATCTCAGCTCTGGACATGGTGCCAAGCCTGACATGGTCCTGTGCTTCAGGTGATAGGATATAGCACAGTAGGAAATGGAGACTGCAGCTAGTGGAACAAAGTAGGAGAAGAACAGGATGAAACAGGAGTAAATGAGGCGACCTTGCTCCTGGCCATCCCAAAACTCCTCACACACGGCCATCTGCAGGCCTGCGGCCCTCAGGTCCAGGTAGAAAGTGTGCAGCGCTGTAGGTGTGGATAAAGCCAGAGAGCACAGCCAGATCAGGAGCACCAGACCCCAGCAAAACCGGCAGCCCCCTCTTTTGCGAATAGGGTAAGCCACAACAAAGTAACGATCCACTGCAATGGCCATGAGGGATAGGACCGCTGCGTAGACAGCTGCAGACTGCATGACAGTAACAAAGTGGCACATGCACGGTCCAAATACCCAGCCACGCTTGTCAAAAGCATAGGATGCTGTCAGCGGGACGCAGAAGATGCACATGACCAGGTCGACAAGTGCCAGGTTGCTGATGAGGAAGTTTGTGGTGTTGTGTCGTTTCTTGTTGTGCCAGATGAGAAAGAGCAGGAGGAGGTTTCCGGAGCAGGCGATCAGGACCACAGCAAAGTAGAGAGGGAGGAAGAGGAGCTTCAGGTTAAACAGGAGGTCAAGGCCAGAGAAAGAAGGGGCTGAAAACAGGGATGTTGGGAAGAAGGGGCTAGAGGTGTTGCAACTGATGGAAGGGAATGAGGATGAGTCGGAGAGGGACTGACATAACAAGGAGGCAGGAGTAGAAGAGTTCTCCCTGGAGTGGTTCACCCAGTCCATGGCTACAGAATCTGGAAGAAATAACATTTTTATATTAGATCAGTCCAAAAACACCTGCTGTATTTATAGTATATATCATAATGTATAACAAACTTTACATCTTAACTGCTTTTTTGCATCATTTATTGACCAACATTTTCATTGAGCCCAAAGTGATATTACATAATATCATAATAAGATATAGAGACTGAACAGATAAATCATATTTGGACAGACTAATTAGTCACCACCTTCAAAAGTCTCAGCCAATCAGTATCATCTCATTAAAAAGCAAAAACAGGATCTGGATGCCCCTCTCATCAATAATACATCTGTTTGCTTTCATCTGTCTCCTCTTCACAGCATCTTATGCTTCTCTCCTCATCATTCTACAGTTGTCACCTTTTATTTCTGTCTGCTTCTCCAAATCGTTTCCATCTCTTTTTTTTTTCTTTTTCACCTTTTCATAACCAGCAAGCAATCATCCAATCATCCAAACAATCCATGTTTGCTTCACTTTGACATTTTTTTCTTCTCTCAATTCTTTTCAAAGAGGAGCAATAGAAATAATATTTGAAATTCAAGCTGATTCTCCAAGATTTTCATCCTGAACACTTGTTTAAACATCTGTACATATAACCTACACTGACATCAATGGATCACTTATTGCTGAGCATCATCTAGCACTAAACTGTATGTTATGCAAGAGCGTGTTTGCCACAAACCACATGGAGGGGATGAGAGCACTTAAATATTTTTCTATTTAAATTTGCAAGATGAGACAGACAGAAATAACGCCCGTCTCCAAAACAAATGTTTTTGGTTGAATGGCATCATTTTCACAGTTATGTTAAATGTAAATGAAAAACCTTCCCTTGTCACCTGTTGAGCCCGAGTAAGTGCTTATTAATGTCTGAGCAACACATTTTGTCCACAGCATTTACAATAATGTCATGTAATGTTCACTTTCTACACTATGTGAATTTTCTTAACAGGACTGGCTGAACTGTATCCAGAACAGATGATCAAAAAAAAAAAAAAAGATCCTCTTCTCATGCTGAATCAGCTCATTGCCACAATCGACCTGACCTGATCAGTTGTCAACTGATTCGCACAACTATAACTTAGCCCGCTAAAACATAAAGACACAACAAAATACTAGTAATAAAAAGAATAATTTATTATCTAAGGAATCACATGCAAAATGAACAATTACCAGTGTATGCATTTTCACAAACTACAAATTCAAGTAAAAAGTACTTCAGATACCTCAGATGTTGCTTATCAGATGAACTGTTACGTCTGTTTGAGTCCCACTGTTGTGTAGTTTCACTTCTTCACTGCAGCCCACTCTGCCTCAGAATAAAGAGGTGTGCTCATTCTCTCTCTCACACAGAGCATACAGTACATGTTCATGTGAGTGAGTCACCTCTAGTATCCTTTAAAAAAAAAAAAGATGCTTTGCCTTTCAGTCTCACTCAGTATCACCCCAGTGAACAATCATTGTAATCTCTTATGATATTCAACCTGGGAGCTATAGTGCATCTCTGGTAATAAACAGTGAATTTATAATGACTTTGCCCTGTTTTAGGATGTTTTTAAATCTGCCATGAAATCATTCTAGTTTTTCTATTGGGACTTAAAATGCATCTAGGGTTTTATATAGTCATTTTATATTGATGCTGACACATTTTACAATTTTTCTCCCATTTTATCCTTCATCTTAACCTAGTGGACAGCTGGCTTTGACTAAGTATAAGAAGGAGAAACAAAAATAATCTTGAATAGTCTTGGCCCAATCCCAGGATGTCACATTTCCAGATGTGAGGATTTTCACAATGCTGACAAAACACACCCAGATACCAACATGAAGGAGCAGAACAAATACTGAACTATCAAGGGACAAATCATGATCTTTCCTCAGCAGTATGTATTTGAAATATTCATATAACCACAAATAATTTAAAAGCGGTCAGTCTTGGTGCCAGAGCAAATGCAAAATGTAACTATGTGATTCATCAAGTGAGAATCTGCAAAGGGTAGCTAATGAAGATATTTATGAACTGGAGGATATGGAAGATATTTAAGGATTAAATGAAACAGGTATTTGATCATGATTTTATCCAAATTTGGAATCACTTTATGATCAAATTGTAATTTGTAGCAAATAATAGTCACTGTAAAAGTAATATATTGTAGCTGTCTGTTTTGCCGCACCAGCATTTTGAGAGTATTTACTAGTTACGGTGCTTGTTACAGCATAGAGAATTAAAGCAGTAATGATTATGGTGGTCACTTTTACGCTCTGGGGTTTGGCCATTTTTCTCTTAAATTTATTACAGCTGTCCATACTTGGCTTTGTGTATGATTTTTGCTTTTTGCAACACTCGTGTGTCCATCTGCTTTACAAACACATCATTGATGTTCCCTCTGTGATCACTTTTTCTTAAGTGAGGGCAGCACTTCCTTTTCTCCTTGTAAACATCTTGGGTTTGTGTAGATGTTGTCAACAAATACATGAGATGTAGTTCCAGGTTTTACTGGGGACATTACTGAGCCACAGAGCCAGAGCAACTCTTTAAGAAAAGCTATCACCATGGCTACTGTCTGCCATCATAAAAGGCTTGAAACTCCATATAGCTGGCTTCCTTTCATGTACTGCTTGTATCTTCTCTGGGTCTTTATGCTGATTCTTTTTTCCTGGCTGAAAACAGGCCATCCATTTGTCTTTGATACAATCCAGCAGGGTCCTCGGGTGAAAAAGATTGGGATCACTTTCTGTCATTTTGTGTGTCCTAGTTGAAATCTCTCAAGTTATGGTTTCATAAGATGAGTCCCAGAAATTTGGAGGACTCCAGGTGGTGAGGCCAGGTTAGGGATATGTTTATCTTTCATGATTTCGCTTGCCTGTTTGGTGGTGTTTTACCTGTCACTTCAGTGAAAACAGCTTTCTCTGTTCAGTTTAATGTGGCCTTGAGCTGTCTAAATGGGGCAAAGGAGCTTCTTGGAAAGGGCAGAATTGTAATACTTTATCTTATGGTATTTTATTTAAATAATACTTTTTTGCTTTTTTTGGAAATGCTGTAAATGTGAATCATTATATATAAATGCAAGGAAATTTGGGTTGATACTCTAACATTTGAATTTTGAGTTAATCTCCTGCCCCAAAAAAGCTTTGGTGGAGGTAAAGAGTTCTCAGAGGTTTTCATTTCAAGGACCCTGCTGTTGTTCAAATTAAGTGGGCTCACTAATAAGCTATTCTATGAAGTACAATCTTCCTTATTGCTGGTCTCGAGAGAGAGAATGGTCAAAAAGAATGATCAAATTTGATGCAGCAGAATTCACCTTTCAGTCGTGGTAGGTCAAGTTTCAAAAACTGTAGGATCTTACTGTATATTTCCTGTAATACAACTCAATAGCATCCCTGTCTGGCAAAAGCTCATATATTTTAAACTGAAAGCCCCTGCTTATGACTTGGACTTTGTCTCTAAGTTCAAGTAGAGATGCCACCACGATGTCACTTGAAAATGTTTTTGGGCCTTAGTCTCGCTTCCCTCAAAATGTTTTATTAATTGTTACTTCACTTGGATGTTTTGTGCAGAATAATATATGTATGTGCAAAGATTGAAACTAGAAATCTGTTTTCACATTTCATCTGCTGAAGGAAGAAAGTTTCTTTGTGGTCACATTAAATCTGACATTAAGACATGGATGTACAACCATGATTTTGTGACATCACAGCAATTCGTTATGTATTTAAGTATCATGAAGAAACTTCAAGCATATACAGTATAAACTAAGAGAAGACTTTATAGTGAAGCAGGAGACAGTCAGTATCTAGCATAGTTAAACCTGTGAACTGAGTGATGTTGGCACAATCATAAATTCTGGATTTTTCAATTAGGGCAGAGTAAATATGTAATTTTGCATTTTTTTGTGGGAAAACCATTTACTGTAAGACACAAATTATTATTCCAAGCAGCTCATATGTATTGTAACATGTGACATTATAGAACTGTTTTACAGTTTAAAGCGTGGGACTCCCTGTGATGTAAAACTGGTGGAATGGCAATTTACTACACTTTGTGGATACATAAAATTTGGTTATTGGTTCTTTGCTCCCACCTAAAGCTACTGCGATCAGAAATGTACACCACAGTGGTGAAACCTGCTGCATGTGATAGTCTTCCTCTTGTCCTGCTCTCTTTTGTGCATGTATGCACACACATTTATATTTCTATACTTGAGGGCTTTGATTTACAGATTGTATTCCCTCTGGCCTAAAACAGGCCTCACTTTCAGCATGTTTCTCACTCATCTCAACATGTTGCTTACAAAGATAGAAATACAGTACAAGGGCACCCACACAAAATTAATTGTCAGTGTTTTAATTATATTGAGCTGCTGCTCAAGCTAAATAGAACAGTGTCCTTGTTTTAGCTAGCAAGCCAACAAAAGGAACAGAATCAGTTCATGTGGTTTTTTTATTAAAACATGGGTAAAACTTCATGTGAAAAAAACAACATGGCAAAAAATAAAGATGTTACACAATATATTACAATATATCCAGCAATATAGCAGAGTATCCCAAAATTGGATGCCACAATTTTTTTAGACACGGAAAAAATAATAATCTTTACAAGATAATGCTTACGTGATGACACTGCATGTAGTCCTTCATTAACTTTTGTATATGCATTTAAGGTACAGCCATTCTTTTTACAGATATAGCAGGAGTCAATATGCCAATTCTGTTGCTAGAGGACAAAAAAAATTCCAATTAAGATTATTATATTTTCATGATGTTATATGGTTAAAGGGATGAATAGCAAGGACAAATCTTGTGACTGAATAAGTACTTAACACTCAGTTGCTGAGGATACAGAGGATGATGACAAGTTATAATTGGTTCTTTGACTGCTGATAACAAAAGCTTTGGTCAAAACAGCACTACGACATAATGCAGCTCAAAATGAGCACAAGGGTAATAAGTCACGCTCACTGAATATCCTTCAAATTAGGTCTTCATTCAGTTTTACTATTATAGCACACTCATTTCTCTGGGCTGTGCATGTCCTCAGGGTTATGTCTCTGTCCATCTGTGTCCCCTTCCTTTTCTGTTTGCTTTGAATCTACTGGCTCCTTATTCTGAGACGGCCTCAGGAGATATTCCAGCTCCTCTGCACTGATGGCCACCTTCTCAGGAATCAGCCACCTCTTGAAGTGTTCGAGAGCACTGGGAAGTACACAAAAGCAAAGGATGTTAAGATGAGAATAGGTCTATATGAAGCACTCTTCTGCTTGGGAGACCAGTATTATCCTCACAACACATAATAAGAAGTAATTTTGTTCTCTAGACAAGTAAATAACACGTAGGCTGGTAAATATAGAGCTTGCTACAAGTGGAAAAAAATAGCAGAATGTAATTATTTTTGCAAAATGTTAAATTGTATTCTAAAATAAAATGCCTGTGTCTCAGATACAGTCTTTTTGTTTGGATTTAACGAGGTGTTTTTTTGCTAACTAGACAGTAAATTAAAAACAGATCACCCCATCCCCTGGATGACTTTATGTCAAGACCATGTCCTACCTCTCATCCATGTCACTGTCTTGGAAGAGCTCCGATGTCTGAGCATCATGCAGGAATCTATCCCAGCATTCCTTCTTAGCTTGAGACAAGGAGCGCAGCATGTCCCTGGATGTCACATCACTGGACTGGCCCTTTAACTTCTTCAGGCGGTTCTCTGCAGCAAAATATAGGCATGAAAGTTATTTTGTATTTGTGGTCAATTACATTTTTCCTTTAGGTTTTCCCCACAGTTTACCAGTTTAACAATATCCTATATTATATAACCATTATGTAACCCTAATGTTTAGGTAAAGGGTTCACAAGACAAGGAGAGGGACATACGGAAAGCAGGACAATACCTAAACTAGCTATGTAGATCTCCGAATCCTCCATGGGTTCCCATTTGGCACTTGGAATACTGGTATTTGCCCCGTTTGCCTGTCCATTAAGCTGCAGTCCGACTTGTGATGCTGGCTGGAATGAGTCTTTGAATTCAGTGTTGGTCTCTGGAGCTGACTCAGCTTGCACCTCCGGAAGACTGGAGCAGATTTCGGACCACAGCTCCCCGCTGGACCGAATCTCCTGACGCCCGAAGTCGTCATTCATTCTGATGTCTTCCCTTGGTTAACACATGTCAACATCAGTTGTCAAAACCAGTTAAAGTTAATCTATTTTCGTCAGTAGTCTTTCAACAAAACAGGCATGTTTGGTGCATTTCAGTTAAATAAAAGAGAAATCCAAAACAGACCTAAGATCTCTTAGATGTCATCTCCACATTTTAGCTAAATTTGTGTCTAACATTTTACATACCATATTTATACGTTTCAGAAGTTCTTCAAAATATTTGTTGCCATAATAAATTACAAATATATTCCCTTTACATCTTACCTGTGTGAAATTCTTGATAGGTTTATTCTGATGTAAGATTAAAGATTAGCTTCGCTAGCTAACTGTGTCCATGATCAACAATCTTTACCAAGCCACCGCCTACTTTCTTATTTGGGCTTAAATTATTGGACGTTGTTACCACTTAATCAAACTGTTTTGCGATATGATTGGCTGTCTACTGTTTCATGTTAGAAAGCCCGCACCTTATTGGTTAGACACTGTGGGTGTTGAAAGGGGGATAGCAAGTTTGCCTCAACTGGAAGGAAGGAACGGTGGCGAACTATAAAGGTAAGCAAGCTGTCCTCATGTTTGTTGGATTGATTATTCCTGAGTATTAACCTTTTGACAAACTAATATCAGTATTAGCAACTGTTCAGCGATATAATCTATTTAAAATGTAACGTTAACTTGTTATAGCTGTTTACCACGAAGCTGGGCCAGCTTGCTGGCTGTCAAGTTCAGTTTAATGTGCGAATAATTTGTTGTGCCACATTCACTTTATTATGCTAAGAGTTATTGACAAATCTTTCTCTTTAATTGCCACACAGAGGATGCAACCAGATCATTAAACGTATGTTACAGCTACATGTGTATTGTGTACTGAGAATTTCCAGAATTTCATCATGTCACTACAGGGAGATCCGGTGTAGGAGATGCGGGAAGCCTTGCGCCTGGTAGTATTAGCAGTCCCTATGGGTTTGCTGTTGTCCAGGACCATGGCGTGGATATCCAGTGGCAGAACGCATTCAGAGCTCATCACCAGGATGAGGGGTAATGGACTGAAGTCACTGTACATTTTTAAGTGTGATGGGTGGTGTTTCTACACTGTAATTCATCTAAAGTACAATAAGAGTGGCATGGTAAAAGGAAATTGAATATGGAAATGATAAATGGAGACTGTGAAATGGTAATTTGAAAATAAATAATAAATAAACTTCTGTAATAAAACCAGGAACTAGCCGCATGGAAAGGTAAAATAAGCCAGGATGTTATAATAACAAAAACCACACAAAATATTACTTCTGATTATCAATTTACAGTTTGATCAGTTTATTGATATGTCACCCTGCTTTAAATGGTCAGCCTAATTTTATGCTATTTTCTTTTCATCTAAAAGCCTATATAAATGTGTTTTCCTTTGCATAGAGAAATATACATTTCCATACTTTAATGTGAACTTGGAATCATTGCAATGTAAATAAATGTCGATGTGACTGGTTGGGTTTACAGCTTAGGCAGGGCAACAGACTTTAACACCACAGAATTTATTCTCCACACATTTCACAGTTTCCAAATTTGCCAGTGTAATTGTCTCTTCTGTGTTTCTCCTCCAGATCATGGGGTGATCCGCAGTGACAGAGTATTTGATGTCATGATGGCTACAGACAGAGGGCTCTACTCCAGAGATTATCCTTATGCAGACTCCCCTCAGTCCATAGGTATTTATTCCTGTCACTCTTTATAAAACACATGCCTATCAGTTTATGACAGATATTTCAGTTAATACATTGTGTTGTAATGTACAGTAATAGCTGTTTCATGAGCACAAATGTGAACTATGACTCTCTGTTATGATGTTTGGTTTTTCACAGGCTACAGGGCGACCATCAGTGCACCACACATGGTGAGCAACAAACTCTCAGACAATTTGAATAATCTGTTTATGTAGGTACACTATTCACTGGATGTTTTTCTTTGGGCCTGCTTTGACAGCATGCTCATGCTTTAGAGCTGTTAAGTGACAAACTAACAGAAGGGGCATCAGCACTGGATGTGGGCTCAGGAAGCGGGTATCTCACTGCCTGCTTTGCAAGAATGGTATGTCCTCTATAAACTGGCATGTTTCTTTTAATACACTTATTATTGACTTAATATTTCTTCATACAGCTGCATTTTTCCTGTTCTGTATAGACAGGACCTAGCGGGAGAGTGGTCGGCATTGAACACATCAACGAACTGGTTCAAATGTCAATAAAAAACGTGCAAGCTGACGACCCAGAACTGCTCTCCTCTGGACGCATCAGATTTGTAGGTGAGTCAAGAGCCTCGTTCCAATGCTGGTTTTGAAATGGAACACCTGTAAAAGACTATAAAAGTCCATACGTCTGTCCACAGTGGGAGACGGAAGACTCGGCTTCCCCGACGGAGCACCCTATGATGCTATTCATGTTGGTGCAGCTGCAGCTACTGTTCCTAGGGCTGTAAGGACACGTATGGCTTTTGCTCTTGTGACAATAAAATAGAAGAGAGTAGAGTAGAATAATAGAAATTGTACATTTATTCAGCTGCATCCAAAATACACAAACAAGGCTCAGCAAGGTACGGTTAAGAGGTCGCTGTTCATCTACAGCAGTACAGTGACTCTTGAATAGTCTTCATTCTCTAAAAGCAGTAAGCTGTGAAGAACCTTTGACATACAGACTAAAAATTCACTCCACTCTGACAGACTGAGCCAAATTTATGTCTTGAACTGGATAACTAATACATGTTACTTTTATGTTTTGTTTTCTGTTTCACTTGTAATGGAAGCTCTTGGAGCAGCTGAAGGCGGGCGGGAAATTGGTTCTGCCAGTGGGCCCAGAAAGGGGCAGTCAAGTGCTACAACAGTATGATCGCCGGAGTGATGGGACCTTCCTCAGTAAAACTCTGAAGCGAGTGATTTATGTTCCCCTCACTGACAAGAGACATCAGTGGCCTGGGTAAGAAGACACCTCCAATGGATAATTATTTAATCAAAATCTGGGAAGGTAAAAGGTAAATTGTTTAGAAAGAAAATGTTGGGTTACTTAAAGAGCACATGGCATGCTTTTTCTTGTTCTTTGACTTATCTACAATGTTACAACTGAATTCTCATCTTAGACATGACCTAAAGCTCAAAAAATGAGATATATGTATGTTCTAGTATTTCTATGCAGAAGCAACTGGGTTTATACACATCTCGCAAACTCTCGCTCGCGAGACTTTTTCCTAACAAAATTAAAGATTTCCTTGAATGGGCATTAAATCCAGGCTGTTGCTAGTTCATGTGAGCTTGCCTGACATCCACCGGTGCCATTGTAAATGCGGAATTTTTCAATTGCGCCTGGTTTTGTGGATATATTTAACCGCCTCTTGCTGCACTGTGACCAGAGAATGTGGAGAAAAATACAGGGCTTGAGGTTAATGCAGGTCCGGGGTCCGGGAATGCTCCTCTACAGGGACTCGCTGTTTTACTTGACTGGGTCTAACCTACAAGCAGCTGGCCTGTGAAGACCCTGGTGGCGGTGACTGATCAGCTCATCAATGCTCGATTCCGTTGAGAAGAACGGAAGAACATGTTAATCTTTTTGATCTAAAGCACTAGCAGCAGGATTTAGTCTGAGCTAACAGCTCTCATAGCAGTCAGTTTGCGGTTACATGTTAGCTTGACTCTGCTACTCCATTCAGTCCACAAACTAATGTTAACTAAAACGTAATAGCCTGCATCACACAAGTGCCTGCTACAGTGGTAAGAAAATACAAAGTAGCCAGCGAAACAGATCACTTTAATGCACTCGTTTTGAAGTCACCCATGTAATCGCAGTAAATGCACTTCTTGTGAATTAACGTAGAGTACTTAGATAGCATGATCCAGACCGAAGCTAGCCACCGGCGTTCAGAGATGCGCTCCTTTACGGTTCTTCTGTGAACTGTTGAGCAGACAACCATGAACACTCTGGGGGAGCCTGTCGTTTCTCTTGAGAAGAAAAAGAGGATTATTGAGGAGGGGTCAGTTGGCTATAGCAGCAGGGGTGGGCGGAGTCCTGATCACAGCTCAAATCGTCTGTCATAGACAGACGTGATGCCCTTGGAGCTTTCGTAGCTGGTCATGCTGAGGAGATTCCTATAGTGAAATACTGAGTGGAGTTAGAAAAAGAACTGCACATTGAACATTTTGAGCATTGCCTACAGTAGGTTCCTCTGTAATCTTCAGTGTGTTTTATGCAGTCATGAGTTGTATCCACCTACATCTACTAGCCTGTTCCTGACGGCGTCCTCACTGTCCTTCCTTCTCTTCTCAGCAGTGAGCTCTGACTGCAGTGTGGTTGCCCCTGCAGGAGGTGGGGATGGTGCTGCATCTCCGGGGCCCCATCCTGAACCCCACTCTTAACGACCACCTGCCCCGCTGGATTGTCACCTAGCAACGTACAATGAGGATCCTGCTCTGTTTGCCTGACCAGATTGCCTTTCAAGAGTGTTGAAATAGTGGCTGAATGAGTGACCACTGCTGGACTGATGACCTCACTCCCATTGGACAAAGCAATGGTTCACATTTATATTTATGGGTAAGTCAGTGAAGCTCAGCCGTGACAAAACTGCAGTTGCACCTTAAAGAGCGACAGTATGACTTCAGGTCAGCTGAATGGAAACTAGTTGAAATTGTGTGCAATCTTGTGGGAATTATTTGCTTATGAATGTAGTAACACATAACACAAACCCAAATAAAAGCCAAGGAATTTTATTGAAAAGTAATCTATATTTTGTCGTAAGGATTGCTTCTTACTCACTTTACATACTGTATGATAGGATATGTACAGCTTGACATTGTTACAGACGGGGTATTGTGCCAAAAACTGATTGAGGCACATAATGTTTTGCAACTATATAAATATTGCAATTATGTGTATACTTCTCAGATTTATTAATAAAGCCCATTAAGTGGATAGTAATGTCACTCTTTACTGAAAATTAATGTGTGATTATTGGATCACAAGCTCTAAAAGTTGTGTATCTGTGTAATACTCAGGTACAAAGTGAGCAGGGGTCATGAGAATATACACTAGGGTAAATTCAGGCATGCTGGAAAATAGGTCATTTGGGACAGCATAAGAAAACAGCAGTGCACTTCTGCCTTGAAAAGTATAAGTCTAAACAATTGGTGCTGAGACCTCACTGAGGAAGCACGGCACAATTTCTGTGACATCACGTGGGAGAGTGTGGTCAGCATCAAACAGGAAGTTGACTCCAAAAAACAAGGTATGAGAAATGATATGCTTAAGATTGATTGTAATACAAAGGTATCAAATTTGAATGATTAATATACTGTAATACCAAAATAAATGTTATTTTGAAGTTGTGTTTATGTTTTTTTAAATTAGGACATTTGGTTGGTGACTATGTTTCAGGTAATTTGGGACAATGTTAGAAGGCTATTAAATTGTACTATAGCATCAGTTTATTTATATGAGCTGATTAAAAGGGACCTCACATCTCTGTCAACATAGAGCCACAGAGATGTAGCCTACAATCAACCTGTACCTAAATACCATAAAACCTGTTTAAAGATTTATGAGCAGACTTCAAATTGATGTTAATCTCCCAAATTGTGCATTATAGTATGTCTTATAATTTGGTCAGATTAGCCTATCCCAATAATTTTCTGACAGTGTTGAACAATAACACTTAATCCAAGTCCACCCTCTAAAGACAAGTGAAAGGTCTCATACAGCCAAGGACAGGAAATCAGTTTAAAATATTCTTTAAACTATATCATTCAAGTTGAAAGCAAGGAATTACACTATTGACACTACCCCAAATGACCAAACATGCCACTGAAAAACGGTTTTGTGTCAACTACAATACAATGGTGAGTCATGCTTTGTAAGAGTATCACATTCAATTTCTTCACATAAATTAGACACCTTGAGGAATTCAGAAATGTATCATATGTTGGGTTTTTTTTTTTAATTGATGACAAAAATTTAAGATGAATTCACACTATATAGGCCTAAACCTCTAATGTCAGAACAAGCAGTTTACTGTACAGCTTGCTCTAATGTCAGAGCAAGCTGTACAGTGAATTGACTTTGATAGTCTATATTTAATTGTAGAGAGCGGTTTAACTTTACCCAGGGAGCAGGAACCTTTTTTGTAATGTACTTCCTCTGCCTGTATTTTATTGTTGTTTCCACTGTACGCTGTTCACACATTGCAGCGCTTTACTTGGATGCATCTTTAAAATATTTTTATTTTAGGTATTTTATATAGTCTTTTGGTGAATTAACAATATTTATAAAATACCAAAACTGACCCCCGGTGGGATCAATTTAGTCCCCACCAGAGAAGAAATAATTCATCAAGAGACAGGGAAAAATAATCCCCCTACCGCAAATGGCATGATGACTATAAATAGCTGTAAACTATGAAGCTGGGTCAGCTCACTGGCTGTCAAGTACAGTTTAATACACCACGTTCACTGTATTCTGCTGGGAATTATCGAGAGCTGCCTCTTTAATTGCCACATGGAGGATACAACCACACCATTAAATATATATTACAGCTAGGCTACAAGGGTGTCATGTACTTAGGGTCTTGTCCTGGACCATGGCGTGGAGGTGCAATGGCAGAACGCATCCAGAGCTCATCAGCAAGCTGAGAGGTAAAGGACTGAAGTCATTAGAAATGTATAAGTGTGAAGTGTGGTACTTCTACACTGTATTTAATCTAAGCTATTCTAAGAGTGGTATGGTGATATAGATATTGGCTAAGTGCACAGTGGTATTCATTATTTAAAAAAAAAAATCAAAGAATTTTAAAATTTTATTAAGGGGTAATTTTATGCAGAATTGAAATTAAAAAGAGAATATGGCAAGTAAAGAGTTTATACTGCTACTACATTACTCAGGATAATCAGGCAATGTTATGGTAGCCCCCCTCACCAGGAGGGTGAGGGAGGACTGAGGTTTGGCTCAAGTTTGCAGACCCAGGTGCTAGGGGGAAAACATGTTGGTTGCTGGTTACAAAAGAACACAGAGTATCAAAAGAACATAACAAAGTCCAAGTATATAAAAGTCCAGGTAGAGTAGAGATGGTGGAGGGAAACAAACAGGGGAATCCAGGGACCGACGCAAAAACCAAAAGGGCAGGAAGATGAAGACGGACAGATAAAAGAACAAAAAGACCAGTGTACACAATGCAATCCACAACACAGGAACTGTCAGCGTGGAAAACAAAGGAACGTATTGTTAACCGCATAAGTGGTGTGATAGAGTCAAGCCAAAAC